GGGAAATGAAACATTTTGCAGTTCTATACCGTTCCTAGTCAATATATTTTGTACATCCCTATAACCATATCATCACTAACTGCTGCTTAGTGTGGGAGCTATCCCAACAACATTATGGAGGCAAGACAGAAAAAGGCTAAGCTATGCAGAATTTAGATAAGACTGATGACAAAGCATGGACTAGACTAGAGGTTCTGAGTTGTTAATTTCCAGTTTCTAGATTAAGGTACCATGCTTATGATAGGGGCAAATAAACTTGGGGTTGGTCTTTCATAAGGCAGATCATCTTCTGTTTATGTCTCTGTTCCCTCCCTTAATTATACAGTCCTTATTGGAGTCCCCTTTGAACCTCTTTACACAAATATCAACACCCTTTCCTGCACAACATATGTTCCTCATGTGTGCATTGCTAACACTTGCAAACTTTTTGAACTTCTGTTGGGCTGTGTATCTTTGAAATAAGACATGGCAAATGTGTGGATGTAATCTGGAGACCAAATTTATTAGAGGGATTGTCTTTTTAATAAAATGGCACATTCAAGTTTGCTAGCAAAATACTGTAAGAGAATCCTATGGATTCTGTTCTCAATTATTCTTTTCCAAACCAAGAAGATTTTGCAACATAGGGCTAATTGATTCTGAACGTGCTCATAAGTTGCATGACAGAAGTAATAAAATCTGGGGAAACTGTTACAGAAATGAAGCACGTGTCCGTATAGTTTCAGGATGCTCAAAATAGAACTGTGATAAAAGCATGCAATTGCACATTCCTTTATGAAAGTCTCAATGCTCTCTTACAGTACTGTAGTGGATTAAATATGTCTGTTTTGAAAGGAAGCAGTTAGGTTATTTTATATTAAACATTTTTGGCTCCCAATACATCTCAAGTTATCAGCACAGTTAAAACGTTTTTGTCCTTGTTTAACCCCTGCGTTTAAGTGACTTAAAACATTAATGTAAAGATTACAGGAATGCAAAATTTAAGAACATATTCATAACATAGCTAGCCTCAAGTGACTGATGATTTTCATTTAAAGTACACTTTAAAACTTATTAACTTTTCTTAGCTGAAGAATAGATTTGTGAGAAGAAAATATGACTCATTTGGATTTTATTTTACATTATTGCAAACACTTAGAGCTCAAAACAATGTTTCTAAGTATATTCTTCTTCCTCAAGGAGCAGGGCTACTTTTGGGGTTTCTATCTTACCCAGCACCGGAAATCTGAAGACAAGTATTGTGTGTTTTCTAGCTGCTGTACTCATACATAATAAATGAACTATTGTAGCCTGAAATTTTAATGGATTGTAACAGGGACATCCTTTGTAAGGTGATTAGAAAAAATGTTGATTGTAAATCCTGTTTTAAGCTTTTTATAAATTCCCCTTTCCCCCAACTTTACTCTTAACTGTAGGTTCAGATAAAATCAGTGTCACAAGCAGCAGACAACTTCACATAGTATTCAGAAGTAGATCCATTTATTTTTAATAGGAGACCCTCAAGAATTGTATTGAATTGCATTGTATTGTAGAGTTAATCACTGAATCTACATAAAACATTTTCTGAATCCCCATCCCTTCCTTCCTTCCTTCCTTCCTTCCTTCCTTCCTTCCTTCCTTCCTTCCTTATCTGCAGAAGAAGAATGTCTTTAGCTAGCATTCTTGGCAACATATTTCATAAAACTGTGGTTTCTCTGGATTTCTTTCTAATTAACTGCTGTTGAGTCATTTCAAATTTTACTTTTCAATCAGGGATGGTGTTAAAGGAAAGATATCTCAAGAATAGCATGCGGTCACCGAGGAAATTGAGTAGAGATATGGTTATCTTTCATACCTTGTTTCTCTAATCGGTAACGATATTTAGATCTCCCTTTAAGAAGTCTGTTTTTTTTCCCTTTTGGAATGCCAACTGGTATCTATTTGAACCTGTAGGATTTATTTCCAGAATCACTGGAGCTTTTTATCATAAGGATTTTGAAGTTCCTTGGAAAGTGATTGAAAAGAGTGTGAGATCGCATTTGTGAGAAAATTGATAATCCTGTGACGTTTACTGTTAACTTTGCTGTAATTGACAGCTGCAGAAGTGTGTTTCGTGCATATATCTATTACATTTGGGACTGCAGTTAAGCTTAACTAGTGGTAGTTATATTAACCTGAAAATGGATGGCAGCATGTTCCATAACATACATGAGCTTTGTAATTTTATACAGAGTCTTTTCAGCAAGTGGTTTAGTGTAAAAGTTCCCTAATATTAGAAAGTTTTAAAACAACTACTCCAATTACACAATGTTTCTTGTTTTTGTAATGAAAACAACCCCTATTACTAGAATTACCTTTGGAAACATCATTCTTCATGCTCAGTTCCTTAAATATATATGAGCACTAATATGATATGTCTAGTTTGGCTTAGTATATAGTTAGATTTAGATTTGTTTGTCCTGCTTTTATTATTTTTATAAACAACACAAGGCAGTGGACATATCTAATACTCTTTCCTTCTATTTCCCCCACAACAACTATCCTGTGAGTTGAATTGGACTGAGAGTGACTAGCCCAAAGTCACCCAGCTGGCTTTCATGCCTAAAGTGGGACTAAAACTCACAATTTCCAAGTTTCTAACCAAGTGCATATGTGGTTTATAAACCATACTTTATGGATTAATGGTATCAATTCAAACATTGCTTGTTATCTAAACCATAATTAAGCAAACTGTCTTAGAACAAACTGTGAATCCATTGATGAAATTGGAAGGGGCTACTTGGATCATCAAATCCGGTTCCTGTCAGTGCAAGTGCTTAAATCAAAACACCCCTGACAGATGGTAATCTAGCCTCTAATTCAGTGTTCCTCAACTTTGGCAGTTTGAAGACATGTGGTTTCAACTCCCAGAATTCCCCAGACAATCAATGTAGAGTCTACTACTTCATCAGATAATTTATTCCTGTTAATAATTGCTGTTATTGTTAAAGCATTTTGCTAAAACTCAGAGGAATCTTCGTTCCTATAATTTAAAACCATCACATTCTACATTCCCGGATGATGCCGATTAGTGTGCATTTTTTTTATTTGACCTTCTTTCAGATACTTGTATGGGATTCAAGTATATTATCACTTACCATCATAGTCAAATCTCATTCTCATGGACTCCAATTGCCAATCTTCTGATCTTATCATTTTGTTTTAATCCTTGCCAGTTTGATGTAGTCCTTTAATAAAGTTGACCCTCAGGCCTTGGATAGATTGTAAATCATTTTGCATCATGTGTGTGTATGATTTGAAGTTGCTTGTATCTTCAGAATTAATTATGTTTTAATATTAATACATATCTGCATGAAAGATATAATTTTGGTCATCCTATTCAGTTCAGGGAACTTAAAATGATATTATAAGAAATCTGCCTACAGTTTTCCAGGGTGGATATTTTGAAAAGCTATTTTTATATCTGAAGTGCTTCCCACATGCCCTCTGTTATGTTTATTGAAAAGAATTAGCATGCTGCCTTAGGTTACCTTCTCCCCCTTCCATCTTATGTTCAATAAGAAAATATTATATCTTTTGTTTGAACTAATTCCTGCTCCCTTTCAGTAACTCTCATTTGCAAATGTGAAAGAAGAAGGCTGAATATATTTGATTTCTTTAGTGTAAGCTAAAAATGTTCAGGTATTATTAATTTGGAATATTTATCTGCTGCACAAATGTAAAATATGTTTAAAATGATTCAAATACCAGATTATACTTTATTTTTCTAGAAGACAATGGTTCTCCCATCTTTTCTTTCTTTTTGCCAATAAAACTAGTTTGTGGATGGATGTTTTAAAAGGTGGATTTTCAATTAACTGGGCTTACAACTTCCACTTGTAGAAATGTAAATGATACATACTTGAACCTGCAATATAGGTTCAATATTATTGACAATTTCCTGCGATTCCAGGAAGAAGTATTTCTTTGTTCCCAACTTCTCTGTAGTGAAACAAAGCTATATGTTTCTTGATATCTAGCAATTCAAAGCTTTCCCCAGCCACAAATGTGAAAATTTGAAAGCTGCAGTCAACACAGGATACTGTAGTTGTGTACAGTGTCATCACCTTCAATGTCCTTTCTGCATGGAGGCTCAGCTTACACAAAATTTGAAAAGTGTTGAGCAACAAAGAAGGGGACTATCATCCTCATTCAGTAGAACTTGAGGAGAATGTTCTTCAAAATGAAAAATGGGGATAGAGAAGTATAATCCTTCTTGGATTATTTATCACTAGCTTGTACCCTGATCTGGACCAATCAGAATAGGGGAGAGAACATGGCTGCACCATTTTTATTAGGTAAACTTGTACCAGTCTTTCACAGTTGGTCTGTCTAATCCAGTATTATTTATCTGTTTTGGTCTGACTGTCAGTGGTAGATCTATTTGCTCTGTGTTTTCCTACATTGTTTGATAAAATCTTCATGAAAGACTGGTTCTTTACACTAAGGAAGTCTTTCTGTTCTGGATGTAACAATGACAAAATATATTGAAACTAGAGAGGAAATGTTCTTTTCCCACTTACCTAATCTAAATAGTTGTGTGACAGCTTTTGTCTTCCTTCTTCTCTATTTCTGAACTTTACAGTTCCTTCACAGTCCTTCAGAATGTCTCTGCAGATTCTATACAACCAGATCTTTGGAGATGGGAGGAGCAACAGAAAGAAGCCTGCAGTGGTTTCCCAAAAATTGGTTCCTTCTCTCCATCTGTTACATAAAAGTTCCCATCATTTTCATCTATTGGAGTTCCAACCATACTAGTGGAATGCCGACAGTTGTAATCCAACAGATGTGGATGATGCCAGATTTGGGAAGGCTGCTGTAACTCTTTTTTAGAACAAAGTATAAAGCTGAATATCCTGGTAGGGAATTATAGATAATCAGGGGGCAAATTGATTAGCAAAATAGAAATGTAATATTAAAAAACTCTATGGTCCTAAAAATGGCATCTAACATATTTATCCCCTTCTTTTTTCTCATAATAGAAATAGATCTGCATACAAAATGTGTGGTAGATGTGGAGACAAACAAAGTTATTCTTCATCCTGTGAACACTAACCTTTCAAAAGGAGATGCTAGGTAAGTCCAATTGCCTTTTGAAAAAAGCACCTTTGGGACAGCTTGGCTCAAATATTTTATTTGAAAACAACTGTTGAAAGTTAAAGCAAATTAGTTCCTCTGAATGGTGAATGGCTGAATGCAACAGATTGGAGAAGATATAAGTTTAATTGGAAGGCAATGGATAATGTGTTGTTTTCATGGATTTTGACATAATGATATGTTATGAGTACTGGAGGATAATTAGAAGATTGTTTGATGAGTTTACTTAGTTCTATTTCCTTGGTTTAGTACAAAATAATATAATGTCTGGCCCAGGTGAAATGCACCTGATTAGATCTGTTGCTAATTTCCTGATCATATTGTGCCCTCTTTTTTGATTGATTGATTGATTGATTCATTCATTCATTCATTTCCTCATTAATGGGATCCTGGGTGATTTAACTAATTCCAGTTTAAAGCAAAACCTTATTATATTGAATCCCTAACTGATTTCTGCAGTGGTTTGGTTCAGTGATGGAACTCAAATTTTTTTACTACCAGTTTTGTGGGCGTGGCTTGGTGGGCATGGCAGGGGAAGGATACTGCAAAATCTCTATTCCCACCCCACTCCAGGGGAAGGCTACTGCAAAATGCCCATTCCTTCCACACTTCTGGGGGAAGGATATTGCAAAATCTCCATTCCCACCCCACTCTGCGGTCAGCCAAAGGTGGTATTTGCCAGTTCTCCGAACGACTCAAAATTTCCGCTACCGGTTCTCCAGAACCTGTCAGAACCTGCTGAATAGCACCCCGGTTTGATTGCTGTAATACTTGGCAGGTTACAAGCATTTCATGTTTGCTCTGTGAGCCTAACATGTAGGGAAGAAAAGAAGAATGGAAAAAAGGCAGGTTAGAGGTAGCAGAGAAGATGCGCTAAGAATCATGAAGTGAAGTAAATTAAACTCTGGATAAAGAATGGAGAAGAAAGTGATATATATTTTGCTTTAGCACTCATTAATGTTAATATATGTCATTCTAGATAGTAACAAAATTCTATTTGAGCTGTCTTGGGTTAAACCAGAAGGTTGTAATCCAAAGCATGTAGAAGGTTCTGCTATGGAAAAGATCAGTATCCTACCATATAGGACATTAAATTATTCTTACTCATTTTAAATGTCTCTTCGTTCATGTTCAGTGAGAACATATAAAGCAGAGATCTCTAATCTTTTGGAGCCAGTTGGTACAGCCTTGTAAATGGTTGCCATGCTGAACATGGCCAATAACAAAATACCCATTTACCTAAGGAGAAATTGGGAAGTTGTTCCTCACCACATCAACTTATATTTTTTCTGGGCAGATGGGCTTGCTTCCAAAGAAAGAAATGCTCCCTAAAGAGTTTATGTGAGATGCTAAACCATATTAGGAAATGAATAAGATGGACTAGGCTGTACTTTATTTTATAGCATGTTAATCTCCCATTTAGATTTCTAAAATATATATGCCTACATGTACACCCAAATACACACTTCACACTATTCCCTTTGGGACTAATCAATTTATGAAAAATGCAGAAAGAAAGAAATGATAAGCCAAAGAAATTGGCTTATCATTATAATGTGAATGGGGGGGGATGCTGCTGAATGTGTTTTACACCAACCCATTTATTATACTTCTCCATTTCTTTCTGTCTTTACAAACACCTGGAGAACACACCCATAGTTTCCCTCTATTTTCTGTTCTCTCTCTTAAGGATCTCATCAACTTTCCAAATATTCTTTTCTTAGTTTTCTTCTTTCTCTCAATATATTTACTCACCCTTCATATTTTTTTCTAGTGACTTGATCACCATCTTCTCTATATGATCAGGCTAACAATACTATATATTTTATTCATATGGGTCACCTACTTTGTGTTCGCATTCATTCAGCACCCATTCATAATTCACTTGATTCTATCTGTTCTTTTCCCTTTTCTCTTACACTAGTTAAATAAAACCATTCTCATTTATTTAAAACCATTTATTTAATATTGGAAAATTAATAGCACATATGCTTTATAATGGCTATTTTCATTTCTTATGATAGTAACTTTCATCCTTTTGTAGCAATCATCATCTTATGTGCTTTTTTTTCTCATGTTCAGTTGTACCATTCTCTTGAGCACAACTGATAACTATCACTAGCCAATGGCTCATACTTTCTGGCATATATTTTATCCCTTTCATTCATAATTAAACCAGTGGTGGGATTCAAAAATTTTTTATTACCGGCTCTCTGGGCAAGGCTTGGTGGGCGTGGCTTGGTGGGAGTGGGAGGGGAAGGATACTGTAAAATCTCCATTCCCTCCCCACTCCAGGGGAAGATTACTGCAAAATCCTCATTTCCTCCCGATCAGCTGGGACTCAGGAGGCAGAGAATAGATAGGGGTGGGGCCAGTCAGAATTTTTACTACCAGTTCTCCGAACTACTCAAAATTTCCGCTACTGGTTCTCCAGAACTGGTCAGAACCTGCTGAAACCCACCTCTGAATTAAACCTACATTTCATTCATATTTAAACCTACACATTGACTGATTGATTGATTGATTACTTCAGAAAGATTCCCAACAGTTTATAAAACTGGAATAAGACCATTAAAAACAGTTCATTTCTCTCCTTTCTCTCCTTTCATTATAACTAAAAAAAAAATCACCACTATCTGGATCTCTGATTGTTCCATAAATTAGAACATAAAGAGAAAAACTTTCTATAAGACAGCTCAACACTGAATTTTGGTTAGGGCTGTTTCTCACAAAAGCATCTCAAAAATAAATTGTAAAATACAATGAAAGCTACTTCCCAGGTGCCCTTTCATAAAGCAGGCTGTCCAATTTTAGTGTGGTAATGTCTGAGTTGTACACTAATGCTGTTTCAGCTCCTTCCTAAGTAGATGTTTTGAAAACTGAAGACCGTTATGATATACATCTGTAGTGGCAGAAATAAAAACATACAATCAAACTTGCTGAGCACATTGTAAGCCACCCTGAGTCTTCGGAGAAGGGCGGCATATAAATCAAATTTAAAAAAAACAAAAAAAAAACCTGTGTATATTATGAAGAACTGAAATTTACAGAAATAAATATATCAAGTCTTTTCAAATTAAATCAGGATTTTAAACCCATATGACTCTTGTCTTACCCTAAACCAGATAAAATATTTAGAATCATACAGCACAAGTAAAAGTTGATATAAAAATACTTCATTTGTATGATTCTTGCAGCGGATAAGAGTGCTATTTTTTGTTGTTATTTTTGGTCCCTTCAAGGCAGTACCTGGCAACTACCTGGACAAGTGCCTGTCATTTTCTTGGCAAGATTTTGGAAGTGAGTTACCATTGCTTGCTTTCAAAGGCTGAGGGAGAGTGACTGGCCCAAGGTCACCCACTGGTTTCATACCTAAGGCAGGATTGGAACTCACAGTCTCCTGGTTTATAGCCTGGTGCTTTAACCACTATACCAAAGTGTTTTTCACTTTTTTGGGGTAGTATTACCCAAATTCAGTAGTACAATGCCTTCTTGTGGATCAAGTAGATGTTTATATATAATTCTGAAAGCTAAGGAATACATCTTTTTTTAATTGATGTATAGGGAAATTGATGTGGGATTTAAACTGGAATGATACGGGGAAGGGGAAATGGTGGGGGAATACAGGTGGTTGTGCAGATGCAGGTTGCATGTGAAACAGTTAAAAGTGACTCATCATTTATTGATTGATTGATTGATTTATCAAACTTCTGAACTTCCCATCTTCCTCAAAAAGGGGCTGTAAGTACCCAGAGGGGGATGGTAATTGTTATATGATAAAAACCTCTTAGATGTGTTGAGACCTTTTAAGATGGCCTGAAACCTTTTAATGTTGGCAAATTTCTTCCTGAATTTATTGCGCTGGTGAAATTTCTTTGTATCGTAACGGTAATGAAATGTCCTAGGGCAGTGATGGCTAACCCTTTCCAGATCAAGTGCCCAAAGCGCGTGTGAATGTGAATGTGCGCCTGCCCGAACCCCCCAAATGCAATGCGCGTGCAGACCCCACACATGCGCCCCGCCCCTGCAAATGCCCCCTGCAGATGTGCGCATGGCCCCCAGTGTGCACCCCCCCACATGTACATAGCCCCCCACATGCACCCCGCACATGCGTGGCAGAGACACCAAAGACCAGCTGGCCTATGGGAGGCACACGCACATGTGCGGTGGAGCTGAACTGGGGTGATGGCTTGCATGCCCACAGAGACCATAGTTCACCATCACGATCCTAAGGTATTAAAATAATCTGATATTACTTTGTCCTTGTTTTGAATCAAACTTGTGCAAAGCCTGGCTCATTTGTCCTTCATAGATTTTGGAAAAGCATTGCTGGCAGATGATGGCATTCATCAAATTAAGGCACCTCTAATCTTATACGTGATGTTTCTGGGGTCTGTGATGGCGCTATTGTTGTCAGTGTGGAGGGAAAATAGCCAGAATCTGAGTGTCATGAAACCCAAGCAGAATTGAATCCAATTTAATCGTAGAGAACTCTTGAAGACCATGTTTCTCAGGTCTGAATTCTTAGGAAGATCTTGTACTTTGGGCAGCCCACTTTGGTAACAGATGTCTATCCAAATGTCCAAGAAGCCCTTTTATACAGGGAAAATTTCAATCCAGCTGAAGAATATTTCTACTTTGGAACTGCCAATGTGTTCTATTCTTCCTAGTCATTGCTGTTGTATGATACCTAGCAAAGATTCCTTCTGTTTCTGGTGAGGTGTCGAGGAAAAGTGAGGAAGGAGGGAAATTTGGGAACAACTGCCAGCAGTTCACATGATTTCCACAAGTTATTGGCAGGCGGCAACCGTACCACAAACTTTCTCTTCTGTTTTTTGGAGCTTCTTAGATTCCACTTCCTTATTGGTAGTTTTTAGATTAGATAATCCTGATCTTGCTGGCAAATCTCTGTTTCATGAGCCTGTATTACTCCTCAAAATAATAAAGGGAAGATTCTGGCAGACAAGACAGTCTAAACA